GCACTGACGTCTTTCCACAATCCCTGCCTCTCTCAATAGACCTCTAATTCATTGCAGAATTATTCATGTTTTTAACTGTATGAGAATCCTGCAAACGATTTGAGATCCCATCTGTCCTCAGCTGACTGTGTTGCATCTCTTTTTAAAAGAGTTGGAGGAAAAGTATCCACTACTGTTCCCATGTCTGTCTTTGAGCTTCTATTGGCTTCTCGCCTCAGCCGTTCCAGTGAGCCGATTTTCAGACCTTCCCGTTTGAAAAGAACAGACACAACTTGGAGGCAAAAGAGTGAGAGATGGAGTGAGAAACAGAGGTGTCAGGATTAGCTGTATCTAAGCTAACGCCCCCGCGCTGCTCTTCAGATGTGGCTAATCTCTCCCCAACTGGGTTTGCATTCGGTCTGAAACACCAACTCAAACAAGCCTGTGCACTATAGCAGGTGGGAGGTTGAGAACAGTGTTTTATCCCCCCCTTTTTAATATTTTTGATGGTGGAAACTGTGGACTTCTAAAATGAGGAGGCGAATTCCCCCCTCTGTTTTTTGTTTTTTTTCGCAAATGTATTTAGGTTAATGGCATATGGAAATTTTTTTTATAGCTTTTATTTGCTGTTGCTAGCTTATTATTAGTATTGACCTTATTTTCAAACTATTAGTCATCAGATCCTTTGTAAACACTACAGGTGCAAAAATATTTACATATGGCGCACCTTCAATTTAAATGAGCTGAGTGGTCGTTAAAATCTGCCTCATCCACAGATCATTATTTTGAGTTTGTTTAGATTCCAACATGCCAAAACAGGTGACCTCTTTACCAAATTTGTTCAGTTTTTTGTGACTAGGCACTGCCTTCCTTGCCTTTTTGGAAAAAACAACCCTTGTGGAAACTCTGTTGATGTTGGATGTGTCGGAATGGATAGGGTGTTGGAAGACATTGCCCTTTTCTTTCTGAGGTGCACTTAAAATGCCTCATTCATCTGTTTTGTTTGCAGTATTTCTCACTGCAGAGAGTGACTTTTATAAATAGGGTGAGTGAGTGAGTGAGTGAGTGAGTGTTGGATGTGCATAAATGGTGGCTTTTCCTGTGTTTTTGTATGTCTCTTTGTCTCACCACCTCTCTCCTCACCTTGTTTTCCATTCTCTCTATCAATGTCTCTATCATAGATATCAGAGTCGAGTGACCTGTTCTCCTTCGTTCCTGCTATAATGGAGGGATGAGTCATAGCTCAGCTGCATAGCAACAACCTACAGCTTTCATGGGCAACCACACATTGTCTTCAAAAAAAGGTACAATCTACTTCTTTTTTGGGGTGATGTGGCATAGTGGCCAGCCATGAGCTGTCATCGTTTTGTCCTTGAGCAAGGTCTAACCCTCAAGTGCATTTCTCATGTTTTTTTGTCAGTCATGTAGTGTCAAATAAAATGAGCATTTTTATGTTTCAGACAAAATCCGGTTCTGGATTCAAGCATGTGCTGAGGCAACTTCAGTCTGCATGGGATTCAACAACGAGGTGGTGATTGCTGGCACAGGAAGTATCAGTTCTTTAAAAGCAACTCAAATCACACTCAAATCTAAGTTGATTTTCCACCATCAATGCAAAGAACAGGCTGTAAACAGAACATTTGGATTCAACAATTGTAGGCCTAAATGGAATACTGAAATCCACACTATAATTATAATCTCAATTTATTTCCATTTATTTTGCAGCCCTATGTGCAATGAAAACTACGAGATCACATAAGACATTGCAATTGTGATGACCATTGTCTGGATTTGTTGCCAGTCCATTTTCAAGCAAATGATAATTCAAAAACAAAAAAGTACATCTCTAAGTTACTGAACCAGAGTTCCAGTGGGGATTCTGTCAACTTCTACTGTACTTCGCCCTCTGACACTCCTTATTCTGACCATCTATAATCTGGACAAAGATATATAATATTGACATTGCAATGAGCCAGCTGTGTTGCCTCTGTGATAGCACGTGCCTTGGGTATGTCTTGCTCACCAATGAGCAGTTTAAGGTTGTCACATTGGCACAGGTTCAGACAACCAAACCTCAGATAAACAAGGAATCAAAACGTGCTTAGCTTGTCAACTGTGGTCCACTCTGCTGCCAGGTTTCTTAAAACCTGGCTAGAGTCCATCTACTGTTCTAGACCTTTCCAAAAAAAGGTGACTGACCTGATTTCTCCTTATCGCAGAGCTAATATAGGGACAAATAAGGGTCAATTAGCCTGCAAGATTCTGAGCCAAGAATGTGTGACTGTCTTTAATTTGCAACAAACAATGAAGCAGGGAGAAATGTATACTATGCTGCACTGTTGTGTACAGTATGTAGTGATAACTAGCCCATAATTCCTAATGAAGCTAAACATAATCACTTAGGGCTGGTTTGAGCTATTGTATTAGCAAGTTTTAAGTTGAAAAGCGAGAAAGCAGCCTTCAGCAAAGAAGATGTCAGACTGCAGAATAATGTGAGTAGATTATATGTGACATCTCTCATTCAGTCAACTCAACAAGTGTGCTGAAATACTGTAGGTCAGGCTTTAACATCTCTCTCAAACATTGATAGGAGGCTGTCATGGTTAATTCAGTCACCAAATCAGAACATATTTCATTTGTTAAAATGTAGGAACAGTAGGAACACTAGTGGGTTGCCATGTGCTCCCTTTCCCCCCTTGACTTTCAACTGTGCCAACAAGATAATGAGAAAAGTTTATTTAGATTCCTGATTCTGGCTCCATAGTGGGTTATATTGACTTTCCAACAGCAAAAGACCCTCAGAATTGCCAGGGAAATGTTTTATAGCCATTTTGAAATTGCTGACAATTTCCAGCCAGAAGCTACTGGCTGAGTCAGACTAGCCAACAACATTTCTCTTGGTACAAAATTAAAGAATAATGAAGACAGTGAGAGCGTAGGGGAAAACAAGGCATGGTGCAATTTTTCCATCCTTTGGATGTGTTAATTAGTATATTGATTTGATGTTTCAATGCTCTTGGCGTCTTGCAAATGACAAGCAGTTATCACACTCTATGTCATCTCCATCAGTATCTTCATCATCATCAGTATTACCACCACCACAAACATTTATCCATTTGTTTACATCAAAAGTATGTAGTCAGGCATGCAGCTACTATTGAATGACCATTAAAGTTTGCGTAAAGCAATATTACATATGTGTTCTGAGTTTGTCACACCCCAGAAAAATGTTAACCACCCAGCCAAATTTGAATGATAAAAAGTTAAAGAAAAAAAAAAGCTCTCAAACGCTGGGGGCGTGTCCACTGTCAACGCTGAAACCACACTCACTCGCGGGAAAGCTGCCGCCTTTCTCAACTGTCAAATAGCACTACAACCTAAATGGATGATCCCTCTAGAAGCTTAATTGGATTTACACAGCCATACATGCATTTACGTGACGAAGGCATAGCTAGCTAGCAAACTGTTGGCTGTAATAACTAATGGTAATGACAGTAACTCGCGACTGAGCGAGCAAACCACTGATGCTAATGTGCTCTAGTTATTATTGTGTTAGTAAAACGGATGAGATGTTAAACCGAGGTCCTGACTCTCTGTGGTCATTAAAAATCCCATGGCACTTCTCGTAAAGAGTAGGGGTGTATCCCCGGTGTCCTGGCCAAATTCTCTCCACTGGCCCCTGTCAGTCATGGACTCCTCTAATAATCCCCATCCATTGAATTGGCTCTATCTCTCCTCTTCCACCTATAGCTGGTGTGTGGTGAACACACTGGCACAGATGTACTGTGGCTGCCGTCGCATCATCCAGATGGATGCTGCACACTGGTGGTGGTTGAGGAGAGACCCCCTCATGATTGTAAAGTGATTTAAGACAATACACAATAAAGCGCTATATAAATGCTTCATTCATTCATTCATTAGGGGAGGGGCCATGCTCAGTGGCTCCAATGCATCTTCGAGACATGATTTCAGGCCCGCCCAAAAAATCCTGAACACAAAAATGGTGAAATGGTGAAAAACTGGAGTTTTGGTCTAACTCCACAATTCAGTACTACATAGTTCACAGCCTTTGTAACGTGCTTTCAGCAATACATTTCTAACATTTGTCATGTGTTTAGAAACAATTCTCTGAATTGCCTTTAGACAGACTTTAATTGAAAATTTTTATTGGCGTATTTACAGTATCTATCAACAGAACTGGCTAACTGGACCATGTTAACCAGCCTTGAACCCATAACTGCCTCTCAGTACATTGAGCCAAGCCAATTTAGCTATAGAAGGTATACTAGCAAACACTGACTAATTCCAAGAGGTAGGGAGAGGGTGAAAAATATGCTTAATTACAACTGTTTTTGGTGCAAGATTCCTTGACTAACATTAGAAGAAGTCTTCAAGGAAAAGTGCAGATTGCTATAAAAGAGTACAAAGAAGAAAACTGCGCTGTACCAACATGTGCATGGGTATAGGTGTCTGTGTCTTCAAATCACGCTGTGATAAGTAAATGCAGAGCCGATCCTCCCTATATGCAAAGTACGCAAGCTGTGTAGGGCCCCCGAAACACCAGGGGGCCCCCTTGCTCTCAACAACACGGACAAAGGCGTTTCATTCATTCATAACTCCCCCCGACACAGTTTTGCGTAGGGCCCCCAGAAGTCTAGGATCGGATTCGGCACTGAGTAAATGTGTGGGTTTGTTATAGCAGTGTTTGGGTGTGTATATGAGTGTGTACTTATAATCTTGGGAGAACAGTTTCTAGTAAAAACTGACTTGATAAAAAGCTCATGCTGCCAAATGTATGCCTTCTCCCTGAAGTGTAAGAATCATTTGTACAGAGCTGCCACTTGTGGTCTAATCGGACAGCCTTTCATTCTAAGCCTCCAGGCTTTACTCAATATCCCTGTCTCACTATTTCTTTCTCCTCTCTGTCTCCTTGGTTCCTGTCTGCCCTTGACTATTCTTTCACTCCTCTCCCGTATCCAGTGTCTTATCTCTCTGTCTCTCTCCTTGTGTGTCCCTCTTCTCTGTCCCTCTCTGTGATTGCTTTTTCTCTCTCCCTCCCTCTATCTCACTCTCATCTGTTGGTATGGCTCAGGCTGCATCATCCAAGAGGACACGTGTTCTCTGTTTATTAAAGAGCAAAAGAAGGGAGGGGAAGAGTGAGCGAATGAGGAAGGGTGGAACAGAGGTAGAGAGATTCACATAGCATAGCCATCACTGGGTAGACAGCATCCTTCCAAAACGCACGCACGAGCAAACAAAAAGAGGCTAAACACATCAGAATCCTTTCAGACGACAACAGAACACAGCCCTTCAGCAGAGGTAAGAAATATCTCTTTACTTATTGTGGTCATTGTTGTAAAGAGGCACAAATTAGAATGATCATTCAAGAGAACTCTAAGACATCTGTTGTTAGGTCATGTTGAACACTTGGTTGTTTTGGTGCAAGATGTACTGTACGATGATACAGACGCATCAGATCAATAAGTGCCTCAACACAGGGCCTTGAGGGACTCCATCTCAAGAGAAGCATTAGAGACCCTGCTGCGAGTATTACAGTGCTTGTGTCATAAGCTACACTTCATAGTTCCAGCCTCTGCATTGGCATGAATGGGAGGTCGACAGGTTAAATTTATTTACCCCTCAAAATAACTGCGTCAGACAGAAGCTTTGCCAAAAACAGAAAGCCAGTCTCAGTCCATCCAGACCACCCCATAAATTCAGGGTAAGTCTACTAACAGGAGCCCTTTCCTGTTCACTGGTGTAATGCTATCTGCTGTGGTGCTGAGAAGTATTCAGGTCTGTGTAATAACAGATAAGCAAAGCTTTTGTTTTCCTAATCTCAATAACACTTCACAGAATATCTGACGCCAGTGTATCTGGCTGGGTGCCAGCTTGCATAGGAGGCCAGGAGGGCCGTGGAACTTTCCAGGGTGGATAAACTGTGACTAATCGTAAGCCTTGACACTTTCAGTTTTAAAGGGGTGATGGATGATGTTGTTAGCACATGCCTTAAAATTAGAATATTTATGTTGAGTTTAAAATAAAACTCTTTTATGCTACAGCTAATGGCAACTGTCACACTTGGTTGACAGCGTAGCGTGCAGTTGAAATACATTTTGTCTATGAAACTGAAAGGTTGGTGGAAATTCAAGCATGTACTTCAATTACTAATGTGTGGGATGATTACAGCTGTAAAGATGAATGATAATATGTGGCATGGTTTCGAAAATAAGAAAAGAACAGATATCTTTCAGATACATTCAGCCTTGTAAAAAAGATGGCACTACTGACGCAACTTGATGCAAGACTTTTTTTTTTGGCTAAATCTCCCTGCAAGACAACAACAAGATGCCCCCATTTCTACATTATATAACAATGCAACAGACGCCTTGAAAACTTTTCTGTCTCACTCGTACAAAACCCATACCTCCTGGAAGCCTTCCCTGTTAGAACTGTTGTAATTTTCCTTCACTGAGCATGGGAAAATATTCTTCAATAAACTGCATGTTAACTTTACTTTAATAGAAGCTCTCCTGGCTTGAGATTTATATAAAAAATGTCATTCATAGAGGATTTTGTAAATTGCCTGGAACCTTTTACTAAAACATCTCTTTGTAAGAGGCATGCCCTGGGACAAGTTTGCATTTTAGTGTACAGAAGCTAAACTCGGAGGGGGCTTCCTCAATATCTTGCCCAGGTTAACGTACTTACTGTGAGAGTTTTCTGAATAAAGAATATTGTGTATAGCTGAATTACAAATGGATCTTGTTTTGTACTGATAGATGGGGCCCGGATTGTTCTGGAACTTCCCATCCAAGACTAGCTGCGCGGTTCCACAGAGCCTGCTGCAGACAATGTACGTAGTTCCTCCTGTAACCGAGGTTGTAGCCTTTCTTTTCCGTTTTATAGCATCCATTCCTTCATTTTTTGTTTGTCTCTTTGCTTGTGAATTCCATGGCCCGTTGCTGTGTCTGACCACATAATGATCACACCTTGATTTGTCGACCAATCACTGGGCAATGGCCAAACAAGGTCAAGTGTCAGTAATCATCATTACTCTGCCGTAGATCATTATTCATAATTCATTGCCCAAAAGCTGTTGATTGTTCCAGCCTTCAGTCTCTGACCAATCCATTCATGTAGGTTTATGTGTCCAAGCTGATTTAATGTAAAAAGATTATTTTATACTTTATTGTAAGTCTCATGTCCACTATATAGGAATCTGAATGATGAAGTCTTGAATGTCTTTCAATCAATTGTGGTCTGCGCTACGTGTTATTTGATAATGAAAATGTTCATATGCAAAGATGCATATCGACCTTGGTGTCCATTGTTCTGTATTGGTGGCTTTGGTACTTTGGATGTTTTTCTGTTCAAGAGGGTTCTTCAAAACTTGAACTGCCTTCTGCAGTTCTTGACCTCCAGCGCCCCCAATCTAGCTTATAATCAACTGAGCCACGTGACACCAATTTCATGTTAATGAACTACAATAAATGAAAAATCTCCATGAATAATTTGACAGCACATGAGTGAGGAAAGCTATTATGGGCTTGATTGTATTCTGTTCTGACCTAAATAGGTGTGCAGTTGTGATAAATGCCCAGGCTGGGGCGAAAGATCGCTTCATGAAAGATTTTAGAGGCTATTTATCAAAATGGAACCATTAATATTTCAAGAAAACCACACCTAACATCCCTGGATTGGTTTCCTACTGATCCATACAGTAGAAACCTGGTATCGGCCAGGTTACTGTACTTTTGGCCAAAGTAAAATGGCATTTTTGAGGACCACATACCAACTCACCTTCTGTCAGCCTGACTTACAGCACTAGGCAGCTCCTGACAAGAGGCAGTGTGAGGGGTTGGAAACACGGTTGATTCTGGTGGTACAACACTATCAGAGCGTCTTTAAAAGCCAGATAGTCATGATTGGTCCTTCAGATGTTACCCAGAATCCCACTGGAGGTGTGAAGTGAGCTCTCTGAGGGGTTGAGATTACAAGAAGTTTCTGTGAGTTCCACAACTGCTTTTTATCTCAATTTTAATTTAAGACATATTCTGTTATTGTCTACTGCAGTTTCTCAATTCCAGTCCTCCAGTCCAGTCCTAACCTCCCAGAATGTTTTAGATGCCTTCATATCTAATACACTAAGAATCTGATGAGTTGAATCAAGTGTTTTATTAATGAGGCATCTAAAACATTCTGGTAGGTGGGTCCTCAGGACTGGAGGTGAGAAACACAGGTCTAATGGGGTGTCCATTAATGTATGACTGTGCAGATCCTGGAACAGTCTATTTAGTGTATGGTTTATGTGAGCTAGTTGTGTTCTTATGCCCATTTGAGTTTGTTTGTTTACTTTTTTTTCTGGCTTCCTTCACCCTCAACATTTGACCTTATAAAGTGGATCCTTATAAGAATCTTGAGTATGAGTGATATATACTCATTAGAAGAACAAGAAGATCATTCATTCTATAAAAAACACAGAGAAAACTAACTCAGCAATGAAGCCAGTTTTTAGTGGCCGTAAAAGGAAGATGTTGCCTTGATGTTTGACTTTTTCCAGGCAGCAACAAGTGCTTTTTAAAAACTACAATATCTCAGGTCTTCCACAGATTTCTTCCATACTTCCACACTGACATAAATAATTTATTTTTTATTTCCTGGTATATTTGATTCTGCCAGCATGTGGGTGGTACTTAGCACTCTCTACACCTTGGTTATGCAGCCATGTTCTTTCTATTTACCTCGATTATGTTAGCATCCAAATGGCTAATTAAAACTTCGGTCACTTTTATATCCTAGTAGCGATGCCAAGGAGACTGTACTGCTCAGCTTCTTGACATTTTGTGCCAAGATCCTTCGCCTATTTTGTGTTCAGAGAATGATTTTAGAATTCCGTCTGACATAGATTTAGTTGTAATAGTTTTTTTTTTTTTTGCGCACAGCATAAACACACATTGTCCTAACCCAGTTTCAAGTATTGACTGGGATTCTGTATATTAGGTCAGACCCTTGCCTTTGAGCAGATTTATTGATTTGGTGTCTGACAGAATACTCTTCCAATGGTCTTTCCATTGTCATATTCTCTTATGCACTTTTTTTTTTTTTTTGTCACTGAACAGCTCTGGCAGCTGCTCAACCTCTCTCAATACATGAACTCTCTATCTAGATCCAACATGCTCTAAACATGTCTGAGAGTGACCACATTATCTTGGTGACGCCAAACTGTATTTTTTTTCTACTGCAGTTAAGACTAGCAGTGATGCCGTCGAAAATGATGAAGAAGGAAAGATAAAGGTTATCCAACTCCTAGAAGATTACAAGGGCATCTACTGGCATTGCTAGAGGTTACCATGGCAACACTGACGGGGTACAGAACCCACAAAAAAATAAATCTACACAAGTTGATTTTGTCATGAATGTATTTGTTCTTTATACTGTAATTTTAGTATGGGATGATATTAATATTGTTGATCATGAATTAGTAAAACATCAAGTGTTATATTTAACCGACATATAATGTGACTTTTAAAAATCATAGATCCCAACTTTATATCTTTAGCCACACAATCCAAAAACCAGTCAGAGTTTAGTTATTGGTACATGCTAAGGTTGCTATTACTATTGCTCATACTTGGGTTTAGAGATTTGAACAAACCCATAATCCTCAGTATTAAACTTTGGCATGTAACTCCTCATTTGGTGCTTTAAATTGTCAAGCTTGTTGTGGAGAGGTGTAGAATTTCTTTTATAAGCTATTGGACTTATCTAGTGACTTGGGCTGGACTCTGTTGACTTAGGCTAGTCAACAACCACATGCAACAAGCAAAAAAAATCTCTCAGAACACCTTAGAAACCGCATAGCAATGGTGGTTGCATGGAGGCACTGGCAAGCATCACTCACGTTCTGTTTAGAAAGAGTAAAAATGTTGCTTTATTATGGTGTAGCAAAACAGAACACTAATGATTATAATAATGATCTGAGAAAGGTCAGTACATGTGGGGGAGGCGGGAAGGCGAGATAGATCAACGGAGAGATCGTGACAGAGAGAAAGGGAGTGAGAAAGAGAGGCCAATTGAGAGTATTGTGGTCATGTCTAGACCTCGTTATAATCACCTCATGGGAGGTGTTATGCAACCAAAATAATCATTCCCTACAGGGCTCTGAATCATTCTATCCGTTCACATCCGAGGGTTTGATTTACACTTCTCATGATTCCAGATTCACGCAGCTCTTGGCACTGACAGGAAATAAGAGTGGAATGACTTTTCTGTTGACTTGAAGTGTTCTGAATTAAACCCAGTTATTGTGCGATTCTTCCAAGAGATATCAAAGTGTTCTGTCATCTCTTGAGTAAAGGTGGCAACTATCTGCACTAATATTTTATGAGGTTGTTCTTCCTTTTTTATTTCTCATTCATGTTTTTGTTTGCTCATTTTCACAGCACCTGTGCTTTTAAGGATGGCAGGAATGTTAGAGGTTCAGAAATGCTACTAAAAGATGCTAACGACTGTTGCTTAGCCTAAATGATTATGCTGGCAATATTTCCATTAATGTTGTAAATTAATTCATGCTTCATAATCTTCATCTACATACGCATATGTTTGCAGAACTATTAGAGACCAATAAAGTTAGCAGGAGGCTGTGGAGGTGTTTGTTAGCTTAGCATCGTGTTATGGAAATATCAGTTGACACTGACGGAGCTCCCATGAGCCGACTACCTTCAGCTGCACAGCCGGAGTTTAATAAGTACCTAATGGAAAAGTACATTGTCTCTTCCTTCAACAGATACCTTCAGACAACCTGTGAGCTAATGTCACAATTGGCCATGTGCTCCTGGAGATTGACAAGTCTGTGCCTTTTTGTGTCATCGTGAATCTAACCACCAAACAACATTCAAGCCATGTTCACAATGCCACCTCATTTAAGTCCACAAAACTCCATAACCACATGTAGTTTTAAATTGTTTGGATCCAGATTAGCACTCCTGCTGAAAAAATGTAATTAAAACCAACTTCTCATGGTAGCTGGTTTTACATGGAGTGTGTCTCAATCCGCTCCCTAGTTCAGTATTTAGTACACTGCCCAGGTAGTCAGTTATTTGTCATTCCAGTGTACTGAAACATTCACTCATTGAAAGCATAAGTTGCTCAGTATGTTCTCCTGCTGAAAAACGTTGTCTTCTTCAGTCCTTTAAGTCATCAGAACAGTGATGTTGTTGATATGTTTAATGCATGATGTCATAAACATGTTGCATGTAATTGAGTCATTAGTTTCCTAATGTTTATTGGATCAAAGTCCTTGCTAGTGCCTGAAATCGTGTTTTACGATATACTGATTCTTTCCATAAAGAACTAGGGAGTGGAAAGAGACGCAACCATGGTTAATAGTTGGTCCAAGCAAAATGGTTTAACTGTTTAGTTGTCCTGCCACCAGTGGGGCCGAGATCAAACTAGTCCCCACCAGCTTAGCTACTAAATGTTCCAAAACACAGCTTGACCAGCTTTACCACCTTAAAGACCCCTGGGAAATTGTTCAACAAGTGCAGTTGTACATATTTCCTATTGAAACAGGAAGTTTGGGCAGGGCATATTGAAGAGGTTACGTCTCAGCCATAAACCTACGCATTTGTGACTTGATTACAGGTGGTATAAGGAGACATTTGGATTCTAGAGAACATCTGATTGAACAAAAATATGTAGTGCAGGATGAGTCATCAACATTTGTTGTCTGTTTTTCAGAAAGAGAAATTCTGTCCATTTTAAATGTGCACATCTGATTAAAGTTAATTTAGTCAACTTTTAGGAATACTCTACAATATAGATGATCTCAAAGCTAACAGACATGGGGTGAAAGCTACAAAACTACAATTTTTAAAATCATGACGAACTACCATTTTGATATCATGGGGTCTTTAAGCTGGTATGATCTGTTTTTTTCCCCCAGCAGGGACTGTATACAAGGTTTGAGTGGTGTAGGTAATATTACAATATTGGAGCACCAGACGAATTTGATTAGATTTTGGTTTGCTCTCGAATAGCTTTGTTAATCTCAGGTGTGTGTGTTGCCATGGTGATTGCAGGTTGCTCTCCAGGATGGCTGGCATAAAGGATCAGCAGTTCACTGAAGAGAAACCGCTACTGCCAGAATCCAGGGGACAGGAAACAGAGATGGTAAGTATGTGTGTGAGCGAGTATGTGTGTGAATTGCTAAATATAGTAGACCAGTTAAAAATGGCCCCCTGTTTTTAGGCAAGAGAACAAAAAGTTGGATGATAAAGGATTTATCTATGCTCACCAAACACCACATTTCATCTTAATCCACACATCTGTATTAAGCTAAAATGAAATGAAAAGCATGACGTGTTTAATGCCAGTAAAAATAAATGTCTTTAAAATATCAGTTAAAAATTTGGGACACTGGACAATAAGTGGTGTACTACTTTTACGCTTTTCTTTAAAAGTACTCTGATATTCATCAGAGCACAATTAATTATAGACATCTGAGTGATGCTAACATCTGAAATCCATTGATTAATGATGCAGTCTGCTGTAATTCCTAACCCTTACCCGATTAAATCAATGTAGAGAATCAATCAAATGCACTGGGTTTTACGTTTTAATTTTAAGTGCAAAAATTGTGATTTTCCAGGCCAAGAATTTTATAAATTCTTGGTAACACGTAACAATAAAATTGTATATGCTCACATTAGTTGATAAGGTGTCATGAACTAGAAATGAAAATGTGTTTTTTAAGGCATACAAAACCCTTGAAAAAAAATTCTAAAAAAATCTAGAAATTTCTATACAGAATAAATATTTTTCTATTCATGTACAGTTCTAGAACATTTTGTCATTTTGTCAAACTGCAGTGTAATCCCTATAAAAAAGATTATAAAAATTTGCATTAACTAATCGCAAATGATTGGAAGTCATGGCAGTTCATTCATCAAAGCTTGTTGTGTGGATATTGTGTCTGCTGCTTATTTTTCCACATATCACACAGTACCATTCATGCATATCATAATTTTTTTCTTCAGCTTCTCACCTCCACCACCAAAGCATTGTCCTCCGGTCCTATAGAGGGCACTGTCTGCTGTAGTTTGCTGTAATAGTGTTTTTGTCTGTGTGTAACGTGGCAGGCTAAAGGACAGTGTGTGCACGCGCTGCCCTGTGCTACACCACCCCCCCCCACGGCTCGCCCCCCAAAACGCTGGCATGCCATCGCCCAACACTGGCTCGGCCTGACACGCCATCGGACCAGCGGGTACTTCCCGGTAGGCTGATTACCGCACAGAGCATGTCCACGCGTCCAACTAAAAGATAGTCATTTTTCTCAAGTCCTTTGTTATCTTATCTCTGTTAGAAAAGACCAAACAAGGCCTAATATTTTCTCTCTCCCCAAGTCTCTACCTAAAAACTCATTCAGTTTCCCATAGCCTACTGTCTGATTTGGGGAAAATTACAGATTTGAAATTGTGATGTGTGCAACATAAAAATGTTCTTTTTGGCACAATGTTTATATTTAAACACACTGCTAATTAACAGCACAATTATAAGCAATAATCAATGGATTACCTATGTCATTTTATTATTACTATTTTTATCATATTTTATATTGTTATTATTATTTACTTATTAATATTATTATTTGCTTAAGCTAATTTCTTTGCACATGATAATAGTATATAAAAACATATTGTTTTTTTTGTTTTTTTTAGCTAATCAGTGAAAGTCAAATCAGTGTAGTTTGTAATCAGGACTTCAAAACAGATTTTTACAGATTCATTTCACAGATTCATTACGGTTTTTGTTGCATATTTATTGCAACATGACTGTAACGTCAGATGCAATGCTTAGAAATGCCAATAGCTGTGTCTGAATTCAATCATTTATGTTAACATATGGCATTCACTGTAAAGTGAATGTGTGAACAAGAATGAGAGAGTGATTTTGGACAAAACATATGCTCAAATGTGTAAATAGTACAGTAATGGCTCTGAATATGTTGTCGTGATAGCAATATATCATGATGGACATGAGCACAGGCCAAATTCAGTTCTCTGTCCTGTCCACACAGACTCTTGTCGAGCATTGTGCTAACACCTATATCATTGCTATGGGAACCTGTGTAGATATGCTGGATTCTGACTATGGATCACCTGCAAAATGGCATTGCTTAAGAAAGGATTTGAAAAACAAATCAGCTTTATGTGCAATGTGAACAAAGCTTTATATACTACAATGTCATAAGTTTCAGTTCCTCAAGAAGAAAACAGCACATTGTTGTTTACCTGTAAGCTGCCCCTTATAATTTTAACCCTGAAAATTTGTGGCCTAAGTCGTGGCCTAATGGTTAGAGAGTGGGACTCCTAACCCAAGGTTGCGGGTTCGAGTCTCGTACCGGCAGGGATTGTAGGTGGGGGGAGTGAATGTACAGCGCTCTCTTCCACCTTCAATACCACGACTGAGGTGTCCTTGAGCAAGGCACCGAACCCCCGACTGCTCCCCGGGTGCCGCAGCAAAAAATGGCTGCCCACTGCTCCGGGTGTGTGTTCACGGTGTGTGTGTGTTCACTGCTGTGTGTGTGCACTTTGGATGGGATAAATGCAGAGCACTAATTCCTAGTATGGGTCACCATACTTGGCCACATGTCACGTCACGTCACAAAAGGAGAAAGGAGTGACACCTGCTGGTCCGACATTAAAACTGCTTTTGCTTTTCTGCTGCCAACAGCTCAAACTGCATGCACTAACCTCGTTATTTAGGTTTGTGGGTTTCTTCCTGCTTCTGCCAATCTGCACAAGAATCACATTATAAGTGATACTTGCTTTTCCAAAATGGATGCTTTGTTTTTATCTTATGTAGATTGTGCTAATTCATGTTTCCTTGCCTTTTCAGAAGAATGAGATGGATTTTTATGTTATTCCTATGGTGACTGTATTGTGATATAATTGTCTGGCAAGGCGATGTTGTCCTGTTCTCAAGCTGTGCTTTTACAACTGTTTTGTACTCATTTCACCTTTTTTCCATAGCACATTGTGTTCTTAACAGTGTCTTTCCTCATTAATACTGGGGTTGGACCAGCTCAGGCCATCAAAATGCTAACCATTATACTTAAATGTATAATGGAGTTAAACAGGCCTCATATCAGCACTGAAGCCAGCTCAGCTTGCACGTTTTATATTTCCACAAATAGCTGCTGATCTGAAGCCAGCTAAGCTACCCACATACTAATCAACCATGCCTAGTGAAACAACAAACAAGGGTGTAAAGTACTTGAGTAATTATACTTTATTATTGTATGAGGAATTATTTTGGGGCATGTTTACTTTATTCAGTTTTAAATGAATAGCCTTTTCTTTTTAACTGCAAGCTCAGCTTGCACGTTTTATATTTCCACAAATAGCTGCTGATCTGAAGCCAGCTAAGCTACCCACATACTAACCAACCATGCCTAGTGAAACAACAAACAAGGGTGTAAAGTACTTGAGTAATTATACTTTATTATTGTATGAGGAATTATTTTGGGGCATGCTTACTTTATTCAGTTTTAAATGAATAGCCTTTTCTTTTTAACTGCTTAAAATTCTATTCAGACCTTTAAAGTATATATCTGGTCATCATTATGTAAATCTACATTCCACTTCACAATTTTCTTCTTGAAAATCCAGTCAGTTTCAGATTTAATTTAAAATGTTGCTTCTGAATTGAACAATTACATTTAGGAAAAGTTTTGCTTTCACTCGAAATGTTTTTGGCTGGATACTTTGACATTTGAGTAAAATGTTGGCATAGTATCTGTACTTTAACTTAAGTATAATTTCTCAGTACTTTTACACCCCAGACAAAAACTCACAATGTTCTAGAAACAACAGCTCAGGTAAATGTTTCCATCACAGAAACTCTTTCCTCGCTGGCGGGACCTTGCAGAGTGTTGCTCCAATCGCTGCTTATTATATTCTGATAGCATATTAAAACGAATGTATTTTGGCTTTGATGAACCTGACCTTTTGTGTTCCTGCAGGAAAACTGTGAGACCTTCGTGGCTGAGGGAGATTGGAAGGTACAGTGACTCTTCCTTGTGCATTTTTGATATTGACTTAACATTTACATTTAAACAGCCAGTCCTTGAAGGATTTTAAGTCATGTCAGATTTAAAATGGCATGGCTGACAAAGTCTCATTATTCCTTTTTGGCGTTTGATGATGAAGTCAAACTACTGAGATAAAAGTTGAAGTATAAGAACTTTACCACCTCAGTTTTGTCGCCGTCTCACGGTTTGCAATCATCTCTTCACACCTCTGACAGAAATAGGACTAAATCACAGAGAGAAGATTTTGAATAAAACAGTGAGAAAGCCAAACAGTGAAGAGGTCTGAAGATAGGATTTGTAAGCCGCACGCTCATCGAGTGAGAGGTTTTAATTTTAATGGAGAACAGATAATTAAATAGGTGTTTGCTAGCACAATATGGTTACCTAATGCCAAGGGGGAAAAAAAAAATTAAATGAGACATTATAAATCAGATTTGGCAATACAGTCCGCTTGTTCAATACAGCATTCCAGACAGCTGTATTAAAAAATTATACATTTTTGTAGAACCCAAAATATGTTGCCCTAGGTATAAATCACCGTAATGGCAACTTAAATTTTTTTTGCTGCATGTTAAAAGGCAAATTTTTGACATTATTTATATAGATGATAATTAAAGTTAATAAGCCAAACATATTCTTGAACACAAACAGAAATGCATTTTTTTTTTTCAAATTCAAATTTTGGTTTTAAAATACGTTTAAAATACAATAATATATAATAATATGTTAGTACCAGAGTTTGAGCTCAGAAGATAAATTGCCTCATGTGATGCATTTTTGCAACCTATAGTGTATTCAAGGTACTTGAGTTTAGTACTGTTTATTTGTATTGGGATGGGCAGTAACTATTTCATAATAGCAATACGGCACTCAAGGCTGAAAAATGGTCTTGTAAACATGTCTAAAATACATTTTTGTAACTTTTTTTAAGATTACAATTAAAATACTATTCTTTATAATTATAATTTTTAAATGGTATTTGTTTGCACACAATAAATGGCTGTTACATTAGATTAAGCACTAAACCTGTTAGCATTTATATGCATATGTATATGGTATGATGTAGTGGGTAGGGTCCTTCCTTTGATGACAATGCAACTGTATTTACACCCATGCATGAGATCTGCACTTGAGAGACGGAGATAGAGGTTGTGCATTTAAGCGAGACAGCAAAAGCCAAGTCAGGGGTTAAAGGGATTAGTCTTCCACATCCACAGAAAAAAATTCAAAAACTCAAAGGGCTTAAGTCAGCATGGTCCTGTTAGACAGAAAATGTGGATTGAAAATTCAGAGGTAGTTTACTACAATACAGCACATGTAAATATATCCTCATCTCAAAAGTGGGCCATGTGCCTCGTGTGTCCATGTCTCAGCACTCCATCATGTGCTCATGTCGGTGCACACGTACACAGACACTGTCACATACACAACTCATGTCATGTTGTGACTGTGATGCTAGAACCTATTAAATCTTCACTGACCTTTGACATGGTCCAATTTCCATCTGTTGTATGTTTGTCTAATAATAATCTTTGGATAAAAAATTGCATGTGTAGAAGAATTTAAAAGTAATTAAATTGTAAATAATTACACATTTTTAAGAAACACCCTCTATTCATAGAAAATTGAGTACTATATCGCTGCAAAATTGCAGCAGAATTATAGAATATCTATATTAAAGGCCTTTATGAGCACGCAGAAGATGAAGATAGCAAATATGGGACAAAAACAGACAGAACACAACAGATTTAGAGTGACACAAAGCCCAGCCAATAACAGAGAGCCATATTTGCAGTCAGCCAATGAGGGAACAGGGGTGGGTTATGAAATGTTCCGGGGGAGGGGCAGCAGCACTGCAGAACTCCCCTGACCAGAACCAGAAGAGACAAAGAGACGCCGTAGCAACCGCAGCATCTCTCTGGTTGCCTGCATCCGAGTCTAGTTTCCCGGAGAGGACCTTGTCTTCTACCTGCTCATATACGCCTTTAAGCAAGCGTACACAATCTGCAAGCAGCCATGCCGGAGTGCTGGGATGGGGTGAGTGGGATATCTGTGATTACAGAATGCAATTAGCGAGTGCGAGAGACAATGCTTTTGTTTTGCTACAAATAAACAGCTAAAATGGTGTTTTATAACAATATGTATGCTATATTATCATTCTTAATGGTTTGGCTGGTTAAATAAATTGCTATTGATTTGCCTTGTGGTCAGAAATGACTAGACTGAACTGGTAATTGTGAAACAATTCCATTGCACATTTACAGTATATGTTCCTTATGGCTAATTATTGTTATCATTCTATGATAATTTCAAATTATTTAAATTTATTAACGGCTAATTATTATACTCAAAACATCAGAAATAAAACAGCATCCTCTGTAAATGTATAAACTGGTCATAATATTTAATAAATACATAATTAATAGAACTTTTTTTTAATAAATAAAATAATTTATAAAAAAAAAGTCTACAGAACTAATTAGCTTGACCTACTGATCTGGTAATTGTGGAACAATTACATTGCACATTTTCCTGATGGGTAAATATTCTTATGATTTTATGTTAATCTACGATTATTAATCTATGATTATTTTCATTTACAATGGCTAATTATTGTACTAAAACATCAAAAATAAAAAACTTAAGTAAAAATCAAAACAAACAAAAAACTTAATAACATTTTAAAAATGGTTTAAAATGATTAACAATATAATACATAAAAATGTATTTCTACCATATATTTTACAAGTGTGTTTGTGATGTTAGAATTCTGTGTTGTGCAGAAGTGTCCAGTCGTGTGTGAGGTGGCCATTTGCACTGACATACTAACACACTGACACGTGTGGAACGTGCACTCTGATGTACCTCTGCAGTAACCTGCAGTGTGTTCAGAAATGTCTGTTTGACTTTGCACATGTGGTGCTGATGGTGAATCTTATGTCTGCAATCTAATCATTAAAATCCTCATACAAGGTCAGTTGTGTGACCTTGAGAATGAAAAAATGAGCAGCTACAAGAGAATTTCTTGACAGATTATGATGAACAGCTTTACTATTTTCTGCCCTATATTTGCGTAATATTGTTGAATCTAGGTCAAATTTCCTGTCTATCCTGTCAGTGTTTTTTTGCATATTATCTCCCTATAAAACATGCTCAATGTTTTTCAGCACAGTGACAGCTGCCATAAGATTATATCTCGATCTAAACACAGAGAGACACAAACAGCTGTCCTAAACTCACACACAAACACACAAAGACCGTCCAAATCTGCTCTGACCTTCCATGATTATTCCAACATCAAAAACACCAACTGACAGGGGCTTAAAGAAGACTTATTTCCAGTCTCTCTGTGGATCTGCATTCAGCTCTGAAGTGGGCTGCCTGCGAGGTGTCTGCTAGGATTTGTGCATAACACTGGAAAGCTAGAGATGCTGAAATAATCCTCAGGACAAGAAAAACAACATGCACACATACATCCATCGCTCCTCCGCTTGGAATAAAGTCTCAGACTAAATGTGGGTCAGTTCAGACTAAAATGCCTTTGGAACTGGCAATTAAAAGTGTGTTACATGACTGTGTGCAGTGAATCTGGGATCAGAGATGCTTAATGAGATATTAATTAGTCTTGTTTTTAACTCTTGCCGCTTTTGATTAAATCGATTTTTTCTTTACCCAGTGAAAGCAGTCGATTATTGTAAGTCAAAATCTGCTAAGGTGTGATTAAATGTAAAAGATCATATAAAAATGTACCATCTTTTATTGGAAAATTAAAGAACATTTTATCAAACTTTGGTAAATGCTTTAAATAACAATTGAGAAGATACTGATCTATGTTATAAAAATCTGTCAATTTCAGTGTGTGAAGAACAAATTTATTCTCACGTGCGTTATGTATTAGGTACGATACAGCTTCTGAAAGACAACATGTTGAAGCCACTTTGGCCGCCATTTTCTACTTTTCGGAAAGCAATGATGTCAAAACATCCGGTAGTGTGGGTTTTCCAGGTGATTAATGTACTCTCTGGACCGCTACTTCTTATAAATACTACCGTGTACTGCACACATTTATCTATGTTTTTTTTTTTGTCAGACAAAATGTTACATTCAACTGTCACAAATTTGCTGACTTTTAAAAAAAATAGATCATTTTTTGTATTTATTTTTTTATTTACACCTTAGCAGATTTTGACTCAACTACAATATAAGTAGATGTTTTAGCTTGTGTTTAGATACAACATACAGGTTCTGGTAAAGTGGGCCAGTCTCATCCCACTGTCAAAAAGTGGCCCAGTTTACTTGAATGCATCCTAGTAATTGATGAAAATTAGAACTAATAAAATGGTAATATGTAAGTACTGTTCTATATATATATACTGTATAAAATTCAGGCCTCTCAAGAGATCCATTTCAGGTCAGTGGTTATTAGGACAAGACCGTCTTGGACAGAGACTGTTTACCGAAACTGTATTTTTTTTTTTTTTTTTTTTGGAAACTGAAATTGCAAAACCCTTCAATGACTCAAACTGACGTAAACAGAGTTTTGTGTGTGTGTGTGTGTTTGTGTACCAAGGTAAACTACACCCACGCTGCTCTCCAATACCCCAAGCAACACGCATTGCACGATTTCCATCTTGGTAGACCATCTGTCTCCAAGCATTGACCTTGAGTTATTTTTCCCATCTTCACAACCAACAAGAGATGGTTGTGTGTAAGTGTGTGTACTTTTGCATATGTGCATGTTCAAAGAGCAGCCCTCTGGAAGTGATGAGTGTGGGCTGTGATCAGAGCTGTAATTTGGATGCCAGCTGACTGCAGTTCATCAGTTCTGAATACAAAAAATACATATTATCAAAAAAGGCAAACACAAATATGGCTTGGAGATTAGTAGTACAAACTAGCTTCATCTTATTTTTTATATTTTAAAGTTATATTTTTGTATATATATATATATATATATATATATACACACACACATATATATATATGTATATATGTATTTATATTATATAGATTTATAATACTTACATTATTTACAAACATGGCTGTCTTGCAGAGTAGTAGTACATACTAGCTATGCTATTGACCTTGATATTGAATTCCACATTCTGACAGTGTGACAGAATCAAATGACTCGTAACCTTGGCCAAGCGTTCTTCTCATCACTCACAGCATGCTTTCCTGTCATCTACTGCTCTTCTTTCCTTCCTCATTCCTCCAATATCTCCTCCTCCCTCTATCTATCCATTCCTCATTATCTAGTCCTGAAGTGCATTATTGTCTATCGGTTCTTATTCCTATGCAGTGCATGTGCATGCATGAGAGAGAAATATGTAGGTCACAAAAACATACCCATCATGCAGTAATGGGGAGGGGAGCGGGGAAGGTCAGCACTGCGGCATAGAGTAACTCTAACTCTCCTCTCCGCTGCGGATAAATGTATTAGTATGCATGGCCATCCTCGATCACAAAACATGACTCGAGTGAGAGAGGGAGAGAGAGAGAGGGAGAGAGAGTGACATAGACCACCGAAAGGAAACACTGGCCTATATAAAAAATGCAAAGTGAGCAATACAGCCGGGAGGAAATGGGAAAAATTGGGTCACTTACTACTGGGTAGAGAAGCTTGGATATGATTCATGCAACAATGCAGCACCTTTAAAACTGCAAGTCTTTTTTGGTTCAAGGCCATGAGAAAGGTCATTTTTTATTTTATTTTCTGCAGACTTATAATACAGCACACAAGTTATATGGGCGACTTCCAAAATGTCTACTTTTCTACTCCACGGAATAGGTAACAGCATATGGGTCAGTGTTTTGGGTGATCTTTTCCTTTAAATAGATTGAAGGCCTGCCAAAACACCATTTGATGTTGATTAGGGAGATGGCATGATCTAAAATGAGTTATTAATGCAGCTTGAGTAGTTAGCTAGAACACTGAAGTTGTTTTGTTTCTTTATTTCATGCTCTAAGTAGGCCAATGATTCTGGCATGAGATATGATTATGAGATATGAGAGATTTACAGAACTGCCCCATATTTGAAGTATTCTTTTATAATCAGTAATGTTATATAATGTATGATATTACGAAATGAGATCCAATAGAATCAGGGATTACAATGTATTATATATGGTTGTTGGAGAAGCACCATGTAAATACCACGAACACGGTATAAAACATGATAATCATTCCTTACCATCTGATATCATTTTACCAAGGGAACAGCGCAATACGTTTTCGTTTTTACAATGTCTTGCTCTCTTTCTCTGAGCAGACAAGCTGTGCTTCAACACGTTCTTCCACAATGAAGACATGCAGGAGATCACTAAACATTTTGTGGTGTGCCACGTAGATGCCCCAGGCCAGCACATTGGTGCCCCCCAGATGCCACAAGGGTATGATTAACGCACACGAGTATATATACACATCAGTATTTGCCATTTTACATGATATGTAAGCAATCGGCTGTACCCTGCTGAAAAAAAGGTTATAATGGATTGTATTTTTAATGGAAACTGTAATGGTCCCTGTGGGTCACTACTGGTAATTTGTTTCCTTTTATTGGTGGCATGTTAAAACCACTAGCCTAAATCCTAATGGCCCAAATATGGCCCAAAACACATTGTTTTTAGTTGTTGGTTTGTAATGTTTGTAATGGTATTTGTAGTCAAAACCTAAAACTTCTGCATTGTTTCTATTGTTTTTTTTTCAGCAGGGTGTACAGTCAGTCAGTCTTTATAGCACAATAATATAGCTACAATTGTATTGTAATGTAGCCTAATGTACTGCACTTATTACATGGCTATTCACCAAATAAATTAATACGTGGGTATGAAATATTGATTTGAGTTGGGATTATATTGTAATCTTACCTGTATATTATCTTAAAGCTTCCGCTAAGAAGAAATAGTCCATTTCAATGTACAAAACGAGCGCTGCGTCTATATTACAGTAAAATTAATACTGAAGTCCTCTGAGGGGATTTTCACTACAGTCGATTACTGAAACACAAGATGGCGCCAGTTGCGTTTGGATGAAAGAAAAGCGGGTGAGTGATGAAAGTAGCACTGGTTTCAGTTATGGATGAGCGCACTGATATAAACATTTCTGTGCACTACAAGATGGCGAACATCTAAGCGTTGAACGCCGCGATTGACCAATCAGAATCAAGTATTGCGGAGCGCCATGTAAAACCTCGAGATATCATTTATAATATATTTTCTGATCTTGTTGTTCCTAGATATCAGTATCCTACCATGGATCAGCTAGCTGGGATGCTTCCTAGTGTGGTGCAACACTTTGGGTGAGTGTGGTCAGATTATACTCAAAATTATGAGCTGTAATAATAATGTAATGTAATGATAATCCATTTCTTTCCTAGCTTCAAGAGCATCGTTGGAATTGGAGTGGGGGCTGGTGCCTTCATCCTCGCCAAATTTGCGGTTAGTAAATCTCAGCTTTTTACTGTATCTTGGTCAAGGTTTTTTTTTTTTTAGTTTGCATTCAATACAATTCAGGAAAGTGTCTGCGGTGGTCCAAACAGAGCCCTCAGGCGAATGCGTCTGCGCAGCTGTCTTTCTTTAGCACTGGAATATGACTCATCTCTGCAGTACTGCAGAACTGGGTCAGACCTCAAATATCTCCCCTTGTAGCTGATTTTCCCTGATCTTGTGGAGGGTCTGGTTCTACTCAACATTGATCCCAATGGGAAGGGATGGATCGACTGGGCCGCCACAAAATTGTCAGGACTCACCAGTACTTTACCAGACACTGTCCTGGCCCATCTTTTCAGCCAGGTACAATATTAATCTAGGCTACATTTCTTATGTTTCACTGTGGATACAGTCACCTTTAAAAATAAATTTCAAGGCTTAAAATGGATTGAAATTTATGCATTCAGTTCAGGGGCATTTAATGTAAAAAAAACATTTTTATTTTTAAAATAATAAATGCATATCAAAGATTTAATTTTTAAAATGTTCAATTGAAATTGAATTCTCAAGCTAAATATTTAGCTAACATAACATCCACTGCATTACAGGAAGAGCTTATGAGCAACACAGAAGTGGTTCAGACTTACCGTCAGCAGATCAACAACACCATCAACCAGTTCAACCTACAGCTTTTCTGGAACATGTACAACAGGTAACCGTCCACTATCTCATTAATATATAAAGAGTCATGCATAATGCATGAGTCGAATAAAAGTGCATATTCTGTAAAAAAACAAACTAAAAAAAAACAAACAACTTGCTTTACAATCAGGATTTCCATTTTTTCTACAGCCGCAGGGATTTGGAAATGAACCGCAGTGGCTCTGTGCTAAATGCTAAGACCCTGAGGTGAGAACTAAGTTAATTAGAATCTGAATAGTCTCATTTACATATGACTGTGTATAGTGTGTAATAAGACTGAATTCTGAAATCTAATTCTTGGAGGTGCCCGGTCATGCTGGTCGTTGGTGACAATGCTCCGGCCGAGGAAGGCGTGGTGAGTCTTTGATAAGAGACTTATTTGATCATGTTTTTCCCCATCCTCCTCATTTTTATCTCTCATGTTTTCTTCCTCTTACCAAACTTTTCTCTTCTTTCTGTCATAAACTTATCTTTCTATGTAATATATCCCAAACTTGGATGTTTTTTGTCATTCAGAGACAGGTCAATCTGCTCTGCATTTCTTCCTCTTTCTTCCTTCCTCTTTCTCCGGTTGTCTCACGGGAGCAGATGGCACTGGCCCCGGGGTTGATCTCCCAGGCTTTGCCAGCTTGTGTGCGCTGGATATTTTTAACTCCGCACCATGGCCCTTTAATCTAACATATGAAAGCTGGGTCAGTGCCCCATCACATCTAATCAGACACACAAGGCGAGAGATAAGGAAAAAGAGGGACATGACGAAGGAGAATAAGAGATAGAAAAGAGCGAGAGGTAAACCAAAAGAGGATGAGAGAAGAGACGGATTTGAGTAATTTAGGGCAAGAGGAGGAAGATGAAAAGGTGGGAGCAGAGGAAACAACAGAAGGATGAGGAAGAGATTAGTGTGAAAAAATAAAAATAAGTGACGCAAAATCATGGAAAATTAAGTGATTTTGAGCAGAAGGAGAGATTAGAAAAGCAAATATGCCACTAGTGAAACCTACTAATTCTTAATTATTACAATTCCCAATTTTAGAACAATTTTAACAATAGTAACATTACTTGACTGCTTTTCCTTCAATTTCTCGTCCAAATCATCCATGTATTCAATTGTGTGTGTGTGCGTGTGTGTATATATATAACTAATATTAAATATAATAATAAAATATTTTCTGCAGTACTGCAGTAACTGGGTCAGACTTCAAAAACACACATACTCATACACACACACACACATATACATATACATACATACATACATATATATATTCACATAAACATACACACTCTCCTCCCTCCATCACACCATCCATCTTACTGCCCTTCATTCAACTGCCTACTGAAGAACTTGTTTCATCTTCTCCATATTATCTTGTACTGCTCTGTAAATGCCCTGATAGATATGTAAATGTTCACAAACATTTATAAAATACAGTATAAATGTTTTCTACTTCTAGGTTGAGTGCAACTCTAAACTGGATCCAACCAACACCACATTCCTAAAGGCAAGTGAACAGACATACTGTAGAAATACAGGCCAAACCTAGACCATTTTGGGACATAAAATTTCAGAAATAATGTCTTAAAAACATATTTGATTTGTTTCAGATGGCTGATTCAGGTGGAATGCCTCAAATTACACAGGTGAGACTGTTTGACGTGTCTGATCTTTGATCAGTCTCTGATAGTATTACAGTGGTGACCAAACATGATACCAAAATAGTTTTTTGTACAAATGTAATCAAAATGTCCTTATAATCAATTAAATTATTAATGGATAATTAGTAATATCCCAGAACTTAACTGAAGTTAAAGCTTGTCAAACACTAGATTTGTAAATACTAAAAACTATTTGATTTAACAGTCTTGATCATGATTTCTTTTTCTTTTTTTCAATTAAACTATGTTAAATGTTTTGAATCCTACAGCCTGGAAAACTCTCAGAGGCTTTCAAGTACTTCCTGCAGGGAATGGGTTACAGTAAGTCCAATTTATTTCATTTTATTTTGATCATCAGTGTATTTATTAACAATGTTAATAATGTTTCTGGGTAAATCAGAACCCCAAATCAGTTCAACTGATGATTCTTTCTCTGCCAAATGTAAACCGATCCTGTATGTTCAGTGTGTCCTTTCTCCCATGTGTGTCTATTTCCCACGATGAGAGAGTTGTGAGTGTGTGCAAGCAAATAAGTGTGTGTGGAGGTGTTGTATTTGGTATAATCTGTACCCTATGTGTATTTTCCTGCCCTTCTCAGTTGCTTATATGAAGGATCGGAGAATGAGTGGGGGGCCAGGTACTTCCTGCTTCCTGTTCACGCCTGCCCTCTTCCTCATTTAGATGACACATTTAGTCTTCTAAACCCTTGTTTGGCCTTGTTTAATTTATCCTATTTATCCTTCCCAGACTGATATTTCCATTCATTCATTATTTACTTTACTGATCAGTGATTTTTCCTCTGAAGGAAAAATGTGCTTTGAATGTGCTCTCATGATCTCTGCATGGCAGTTATTCGAAATTGAACCATTGAAAACAAAACCGTAGATGAAATAATGGCATGAAATGCAATTTTTTTCTTTCTAGCTTAGAATTATTTAAAAAAGTTGTGAAACTTGCTGTTTTAGGCACTCTTTTTCAGATACTTCACATTTAAAGGGGTCCTATTATGCTCTTTTACAAAGTCTTGATTTTGTTTGGGGGTGTACTAGAACAGGCTCTCATACTAGGTTGTTCGAAAAACACATTCTTTTTCACATATTTTACATTATTACAACACCTCTCTCCCCAGTCTGGCATGAACGGCTCGAATAGTTCCTATATCAAATGAAGGCCCGCCTTCTGAAATACGAAATGTGCTGTGATTGGTTAGCTGGTTCAGTGTGTGTTGTGATTGGCAGGAGCACTTGTAGGCTGGAAGATCTTTTATGTTTGAAATATTGGTTTTTAAATAAATATTTATATATTTTATTTATTTAAATATTTATAATAGTTATATATTTTCATACAATATTTTCTTGTTTAAAAAAAACTAAGTATCATTGGAGCAAGTGTCAATTCAATTACAGCATTTTTGCCTTGTTTTGCAAACAAATATCTAAACATCCATAAAACATTTGAAAAAAAATGGTGTAGAAACAGTTTACACTCAGAAATTGCAATTAAGTTTCACAATTAACTACAAAGAAATGGCAAGTAACACACTGAATTAAATTATGAAAAATTACTAATTAAAATTATGAAGTAGAAAGACTGAAAAAGTTTTTTTTTTCTTAAATATACTCCAGTAACATTTGTTTTATTTACAACTTCGGAATTTTTTTTTTTTACTGTGTGTATATGTGTGTAGGTGTTGTTTTCCTTTTTTTTTTCTTTGGTCAAAACTCACAAATTTTTGAATGCTTAAGACCAAAAAATTCTAATGGAGTAAGGGAAACTCATTCTTATTTCTACACAATTTTGCTCACATTTTTGTTTCTTATTTAAGGATGTTTAGATTTTTTTTTTTACTGTAAAACAAGAAAAATACTGATTGAGAGAATTATTTTTTAGCACTGGAAACGGGCATTTTGATATACGTAAAGATTCTGGTTGCCTATTTAAGTTGGATTTGAGTCATTCTGTATTTGCAGTGGAATGTTATCAGCTTGAGGCTGAAATTATTTTCGACAAAAAGTTCAAGCATGTCATCCCTGCCTCCTCTGCAACACATCATGCAGCCCGGACGAATTTCCCTGTGGATATGAAACGACTATTCATCTCCATCTCTCTTTCTCACTTTTTTCTCAGTGCCCTCGGCCAGTATGACCCGTCTTGCTCGCTCGCGAACGGCCTCTCTGACCAGCGCCGGCTCCGTGGATGGTTCTCGCAACCGCGCATGCACGCACTCAGATAGCAGTGAGGGCGTCGGGCAGGTCAGCCACACCATGGAAGTGTCCTGCTGAACCCTCGTGCAATGTCTTACATGCACACATTTAGAGAGATGTGGCATGGAAGGAGGGCGTGAGAAGAATGGAGGTCTCATATTGCTTTCATTCTTTCTTTCTCAGCCATTTTCTGTCCTTTTCGCTCAGTTTTTTCAGCGTTAGCCATCTTGAAGGAATAGTTGACTCAAAAATTTAAAAAAAAAATGTATAAAAACATCATTTACTCGCCCAGATGTCTTTAGAAACCTGTATGACTTAATTTCTTTTGTAGAACACAAAATGAGATATATAGTCCAAGGAGCTATTTTCCATATAATGAAAGTGAATGGTGACCACAACAAAATTTCAGTGAATAACAACCTTTTTTTTTTCCGTGAATTGGCTTCAGAAGACCATCCACTCCCATTGTATGGAAGAGAGCAGCTTGGACGTTCTGCTGAACATCTGCTTTTGTGGTCCACAGAAGAAATAAAGCCATACAGGTTTAGAAGAACCTTTTCTTTTCGAGCTGAACTATTCCTTTAACCTGTAAAATGAAGACTTGCTGTCCTTTTCCCCTGCAAAACAGTGTTTGGTTTCCCCCAACTTTGTAACACGGTTACTTATCGCTCTACGTGTCAGTATTCCTGCACCCTTTGCTTGCTGCCTCTGGCCTTCACCTCCTCCTAAGACAAAACTACAAGTCCCATCAGCCCCTGCTCTCACTCATTCCTGTCCTATGACAGTCTTTGAGGAGAAACTGATGGATTGGGTCGCAGGTAGAAGGGATCGGTCTTGAGGAACAGCATGAAACAAAGCAAAAGAAAGAAGAAAGGAGAGTTCTTAAACCAGAGAGCGATTTATAAGTAACATTTGTAGCTCTCCCTCTCAATTTTGAGCGAAAGCAAAGCGATTGTATAGCCGAAAAGGGTGAAAATCTCTTATCCAGTAAACAGTAGCTTTCGGCTAATCATCTCAGCTCATTCAGTCCTTGGGAGTGTATGTTTCGCCACATACTGTAAGAAAGAATCACTTTATAATGGAGTTTTTTTTGTTGCATGATTTGATTCTCATTTAAAATGTTATTAAAGCATGAAAAACTGTTTTGAAGTGTTTTCCTCCATTAAAGTAGGAACAGAAGTTGTATGACTTGACCGCTGACTTGCCTTAAATAGTCTTTTGTCATGTTAGAATGCTTAATATTGCCATTCCTTTCATATTAAGCACTAATACGATCAACCACACTTTCAAATCAAGTCTCATTTCATTAAATACTACATGCCTAGTACCCTTTTAGTGTGCACTCGCTGTCATATGAAAGTGGCTTTGCCTGGGATCGGTTCTGTAGGTCTCCATTTTATAGACAATCGGCTTCTGACCCAAACCAAACCAGAACCGTCGACTGAGGCAGAGCCTGTGTGATAGAGTTTGCAGTGCATTAGCGGTACAGAATCAAGGCCTCACACTTCCCTTACAGCACCCAGCCCCGCACCAGGAATATACCAAAGCTACTGATACAAATGCACACACAAATGCACACATACACATTTCCCAATGAGGGCTGGGCTCTGCAAGGTAACAGAGCTTTTGTATGTATACACACACACACACACAATTCATGTACTCACATGCAACTTACATATAAATGACACTGAAAGATTCATATGCATTAGAATCATATTCAGTGCATGCTTATTTCATAATTTAAAGTGGATCTGTGGATTCACATTTAGTTATTTTTTGTGTTCTTTTTTAAATGGGCTCTTGTCAAATTTCCACATTTTCATCATAGTTTGGTAAAGATCTAAAGTGGTGAATGGAAACTACAACAAATATATTTTTTTTTGTGTTCCCATTTACACAAATAGCAAAATGAAAAAGCCACAATAGTGTTTCTGTGACTTTCCAAAAGTGGAAAAAATGGAGAGATTTATAATGGTGTCAGAAGAGAAAATTATGTCAAATTTGATGTCACTTCCCGTTTTGTTAGAAATACATAGCAGCAGCAGCCAAGGTAATATAACACAAGGTGTAGTGTTATAAAAAATGGCTAGATTTACAATGTTAATAACTGAAAATGTGTCATTAAAGTCTATGAAAAGGATCCATAATTTTGTTGATTTATGTACACAAACTGCACAAAATTATTGGAGAAAAACCCCACCTAAACAATTGCACGAATGAAAGTAATGAATTAACTAATGAACAAATGAGCAAACAAATAAAGGAATGAGCAAACAAACAAGCGAACTAATGAACTAAACAAATGAACGAATGCACAAATGTTTTGAATCAAGTTCCAGAGGTGACTGACATGAGCTGAGATCTGATTGGCCGACGCAGCTAACGTGGAACATACGAGGGCGGAGCTACCGTTGGCTTTCCACTCCACACTCGCGTTTTTCTGTCACTGAATGTCAGTTTTTCTGCTGCTTCCTCGAACAGGAAGTGCACAATTACGACTTCTCAGGGGTGTTTCCTGTGTGTTTGTCTGTAAGGGGCGGGGCTTTCTGGAGCATGATGCTCCAAGCTTGGAATGTAGGGCAAATCCCACCCCCAAACAAACCCAACCCCCAAAACACAAGGTGCCCCTCCTCTCACAGACACTTCCAGTCGCCCCTAAAGGGCTATCGACCCAGGCAATGCATCGTGATCAACCTCACTCCGTGCAAAGCTGGGCGCAGTACTGTAGATACTGTAAAAAGAGAAAGATGAATGCGTGATACGGAATAAACAGTGAATGTGAAAGAGGAAAGAGAGGGAGAGGAGGAACAAAAGGACATGTGGTGGGTGTTCAAAGTGGGAGGGTCAAAGTCAAATGCAAAATATCAATGGGTTTCCTCCTAAAGACTGAATGGACAAATACACATTCTTCCCCAGTATTGATTTGCATGAGTTTTGATAATGCAACCTTGTGTTTGTGTCGTTTTCCTTGATTTCCTGTCTGAAGTATGCAGTCGTCAGCTCTTATTAAGAGATCAAGAGCATGCCCACCTTTCAAATGTGCACTTTTTCCTGATCCCTGATCTCTGCCTGGGGGCCCTGAATGTATTATGTCCTTTGGAAGTGCTGTACAGTATTGTCAATGTGGCCCCATAATCACCTTTTCTTAAATCAGGGCTCACACCAGTTTGACCTGCCACACCTGCCTTCCCTTGCACCCTTTCCCTTCTCAGTCTATGTTCTCTGCTGTAGATATTCGCTGTTTTTAGGGCATAAATCTAAAAATAGTTCCGTACCACTAGCCTTGTCATGTGGAACTGTTACTCTTTGGATTTCCCTTGAGTTCCTCTTTTTATAATACAGTAGTTCTTATTTAACCATGTGTTGCATCTATTCTTGTGAGGATTCAATGAGTATTATTATTATGAATATGATTACAATTGTTACGATTAGCCATTGTTATATATTAAGCAATAAGTTGTTTGTGTTTATTTTTTGGATGGGGGCTGGTTGTTACAAATCTGTCTAAAGATACAGCAAGAGTCACTCTTAACCTGCTTTACCATAAGAAAACTAAAAAAACTAATGTGTTTATGAATATGTACATCTATATACAAGCTGTCACAGTCTGTGTACTAAAAAACTGAACGTGCAACAAATAAAAATGGATATACAAAACGCTTTTGTTTGGTTTCTTGCAGATTAATTGGTATCAACTGCCAATGAACACATAATATATATATATAAAAATATATATATAGTTCAAAGTTGCTTTTATGGAAACCCATTTTTGCCACATTATACAAAACGCTTTTGTTTGGTTTCTTGCAGATTAATTGGTATCAACTGCCAATGAACACATAATATATACAGTGGGTACGGAAAGTATTCAGACCCCCTTAAACCCATTTTTGCCACATAAGAAAAAAATCATGCTTTGGTAAATCATAATTATGACATAAGAAGTCAAAATTATGACAGTCATAATTATGATATAAAAAGTCATAATTATCACAAAAAGTCAAAATGATGAAAATGACAAAGCATAATTATGAGAGAATAAAACTGAAATTATGAGATAAAAAGTCAAAATTGTTTAAGCCATGAGAAAAAAGCTAAAATTATGAGATTGAGAAAAAGTAAAAAAAGATTTTTATATAATAATTATAACTTTCATGCCATGACTTATCTAATTTTTTTAATTTAAACTGTCTCATAACTTTGCCTTTGATGTCATAAGTATGATTTAACAAAACCTTTTTTCCCTTATCTGCTAAATGCATAAATGAAAGTAATGTAATGTCTATAGTAGTATTCCAGCACACTCATTTTTCAAACTTTGCTGTAATTTATTTCAAGGAATGAAATTTGCGATACATTTGTGAATTTCTTCACCTCACGTAACAAAGCTAAGCATTTAAAGGAGTATTCATAGTGAAAAAAAAAATTCATAAGCTGCATTTCAGTTCACATACTTCTATACAGTAAAAGTACATTCTTCACTGGTGAAGGGGAAAGTACAGAATTTTGAATGTACTGAATGGCAAGATAGGTTACAAGTAATCATATGTATACAACAAGATTTTATAAAATTGTCTTGATACTATAGACCCCTTAAAATTGTTGCAATCTTTGTGTTGCAGTAAATGTAAAAAAAACAACAAGTTAGCAACTAGTAGAATATACACACTTTGAGAAATTGCTATCTACTGTTACTATCTGGGGTTTTTAACCATAAGATAACTAATTCTAATATTGCATACTATACAGTACAGACAGTATGTGAAACAGGAAGGAGCCATATTCTCATGTATTGAATCAAGACCTACTGAAAGATGAGCTCATAAGTTACAATATAGGCGTCACTGTAGGCATACAGCAAATGATCTCTGGGGTCATAGTTAAGAAACTCAATATTAGTCTGCATCTTCTTAATATTAATTTTCAAATCATAGCGCTCTTCCTTTGTTTTGGTGTCATAAGAGTAAAAGATCTGTTCTGTTTCTTTATCCAGGTAACGAGTAGCATAAAGCACACCGCACACCAGGAAGGTGTTTGTGGCAGTCATTTTGTACAAAGAGGTTTTCCACGTTTGGCCCAAAACTGGCGGGTTACTAGTCTCGATTTTACTGATAATCACATTTCCAAAGTTGCTTGTGGTTGCGTATATGACATAGACCCCAGATTCATCTGTGACAAAATCCATATCAGTATAACTGTATGTTGTGCCGAGGTGTGCGAATGGAAACTTGTTGTTGTATCCTGTATCACTAGGTAGAGCCACAGTACTGATAGCACGAGTCGTCATGTTGAACTGACAGACGGAGTTTGAATAGTAACAGTTATAGTAGAGCGCATTGGCGTACATGACCATGTTTGGCCCCTGAATT